GAAAGGCCAATAAAGCTGGCTTCTGATGTCAGCTAAGGGCACTAGAACTAGCAAGATGCAAAGGCAGGCAGGCTCTGCTCCCCCACCTCTGGGCCTCTTTATATCTGAGCTACAGTCCCCTGGAGTGGGGCAGGTCTTCTATGTTTAGCTAATCCTTCCTAGAAGGCTCTTACAGACCCATCTAGAGGCATGTCTCTCAGTTTATTCCAGATCCACTCAAGTTCATAGTCAATCAGGATGAATATATTTTAAGAGTATTAGATTCAGAGATTGGGTTACCTCTACATGGGATGTTGACAAAGGCTGGGGTAATAGTTTGAGGTTCCCCCCTCATACTATGACTAATTCAGTTCCTTCTGACTACATGGAACTCCTTGTCCTACCTGAGGCCAATGGAAGGTACAATACTCACTTCTCATTTTATTAACCTTTGGTTTGTAGAAACTATCAGACAAGGATCAGAAGAGGTTGGGCAGGGCCTCCCAGATTGAAAGTGAATGCCATGCTCTTTGCATGTCTGGGTCCACTGGGGTGACAAGTGCTATGTGCCAGGGATGTCAGCCTCTCTGATGACATCTACAAAATGAGATGGATGCTGTGAGCTCCTCCAACCCAGATCTCCAAGTGTTAGGTGAGGTGTCAGAAGGACATATTGATGGCTAACTACAGAAGGACCATAGTTTAATTCTTATGAAGTATTTTGTCTTTGGATTCTTAGAGATCCATCTCGATCTGTCAGAGGCTGCAGCGTCTGTTGCCCTTCATAAAAATATTTGACATTTGTGTGCTTTGGGTCTTGGATGAGGGCACGGTGTGAGTAGAACATGGATGCCTGAGAATCTACCTGCATCACATAGGCTGTGAACTGTCAGTATCCTCCAAGCTTGCTTGTCTGGGCTGACTCCGGAAGGTCCAGAGGCAATGGATCTGCCATACAGACTGAATTGCTTCTCCAACCATGGTGAGAGAGGATGGGGACATGACTTGTGGTCTAGTTTTGGAACAGCTACCCTGACCCTTGGAGTATTCACTTTGCTCCAAATGTGCCCCCTTTCTCGGCCTGTTTGAGGTCCAGGGAAGTCTGCCCTGCTTTCTTTTGTTATGTGCTATGTCCAGTACTGGGTGAGAGTGAGTATGTCCAGATGACCAGGGCAGGCAAGGGTTAGTGCGCCCAACGAATTCTAGCCTAGAAATGTGAAATCCAGTTTTGGAAGAGAGTGGTTATGCTCAGAGTCCTTGCGCAAGAACTGGCATCAACTTCATTTGTGGAAGGAGGCTGAGACAGAACCTGCTTTGTAGGCGTGCATGTTCCTGCAGCAGCTGGCAGGGCCTGGTCCCCACATGGTGCCTTGCAGTGGGTGATGGAAAGGCCCAGGGATCATCACTGCTTCATGAATAACTGAGCAAGCCGTGATGTCAGAACAGTGCTGGCACCTTGGGAGCGTGCCATAGAGCACATTCTCTTGTTTACCTACCCACAGGGACTCTGGAAAGGTACTGTTTCAGCACCGCTCCTCACTGACCAGCAGGTCAATAACAAGAGGGAGAACCTCTCCATTCAGTTATGGCTGATGACCAGGAATGAGCTATGAAGGCACCTAGCTTTCCCCACCCATGTATCCAACTTTGACGAGAGGTAGTCATTTCCCCAATTCCTGAGCTGACACCAATTTGTCTCCTTGAGCCACTTTCCCTTAGCCCTACGGTTTCTGGAGGCATCCGCTCTAAGGTGTACTCTTATCTAAACCTGGTGTCCTGAGAGGTGTCCTCAGGATGCTAGCCAGTTGCAGAACCTTAAGCCAAGGTGGGTGCAGGGCTCTGTCTCTTTGTCTCGGTCTCTCTTTCTATGCGAGTCTTATGCTTTCTCCAAGTGAAGATAAGAGCCTATAACCTAAATCACACCAACTAGGGATTGACGTGGATATCTGTGTGTTCCCATCATACATTTGAGGAAACCCTGAGAATAAATAGCTTCTATGATAAGCCCGCTATGTGAGTTTGGGGTAGAGTAGCTTGGCCAGCCCCCTTGGTATAGGTACTTGCGCGACTGACAGGTGATTGTGTGATAGGTACGTCTGGTAGCAGTTGGAGGGGCCTGGTCACTGGATGCTTGTTAGTGGGATATGGAAGACCTGGGGCTCTTAACTGCTGCTTGGTCCTGTACCATAAGTGCTGAGACAACAAGATTTCCCTTACATCCTGCATTCTCATTCTGCTGCATCCCACTGATGGTCTCTGTTTTCCTGTGTGTGTGCTATGTGCTCATGAACATGCACACATATATACTGACTCTCTGAAGAACCCAACCTGCTGCATTGCTGGCTGGAACTTTCTGTGGTTTGTAAACTCATCGGATGTTCTTGCCACAGAGGCATCTTATAAAGGTACATTTTACCTGGCATATTTTGTTTTGAAGAAATTGGGGAGGAGTTCTAGTATCTGTCCTCTTTGCAAAAGGGTTGGCTTATCCCACTGGAAGGAGCCATTCACCAGCATTCCCAAGAGAGCCTGTTGAAGTTCAAGATGCAGGGTTCCCTTCTTTTCCCTCAAGATCCTGGGAGACAGTTTCTGTCGTGGGGCCTGAGGGTTTGACTTTCTCTCAGTTTTCAAGTGATACCAGTGCTGAGGCCTTGGAACCCCACTTTGAGCAGCATTGCTCCTGGCTGGTGTGCTCACCTAGACATCACCTTGGAGTTTATAAAGTCATTCTGATGTTGGATCTCCTGCCTGGAAATACTGACTATGTGCTCTGGGAATTTATGTAGTAATAGGCACCCAGGATTGAGAATGCCTGTTCTGAAGAGAGGAAAAATATTATCACAGCTTCTGGTGGGCCCAGCCCTCTGGCATGGACTCTTAGGAAATTCTTAAAGATCTTCTCTGCTTCTTCATGCCTACCGAGGGAGCTCATGAAAACAGGGCTTCCTCCATGTGCAGGCCAGGACTCTGTTGCCTGAAGCCAGAATTGCGACTTTAGTAAGCATCAGGAGGTCTCAGTGCACAGGAACCAGAACCTGGCGTCCATTGGGCTGGGATAGCCTAGGACACAGCCTAAAGTCATGAGATCCTTGATGCCTGTGTTCATGAGTTCTTTGCTCCTGGGGTCAGACTCTAAACTCACCTGCTCATCTAAGTGTGATGTCTTTGCTGCTTTCTGCTCACTTACAATTCTTAAAAATAATTATTATGAAACTACAATAAATCCATACAATGCTTGCAAGTGTATTAGAGTGAACACCTGGGCCCACAAATGTTCCATAGCTGGAGTTTACACTGGCAGCAGGGCCCAGGAAGTCTCGTTTTAGAATGGTGCAGCTTTTTTTTTTCTTTTTGCTACTATTGCTGCATCAGGAAAATCTCTCTGTGGCATGCCCCAGCAAACAACAAAAACTCTGTTTTTTCTCTGAGTCTAGAATTAACCCCTCTCAGGTTTTTAAGTGAATTTAGTCCATCACATTGGCGCCAAACTGTTGCATGGGTGGGCCCTTGTTCTGTCTCGGCCACCCAGCTAGCTTAGCCCCAAAATAATCACACAGAAACTGTATTAATTAAAACACTGCCTAGCCCATTAGCTCTAGTTTCTTATTGGCAAATTCTTACATCTTAATTTAACCCATTTCTATTAATCTCTATATCACTACAAGGTTGTGGCTTACGGGAAAGATTCAACATGTCTGATCTGGCAGCTCCATGACATTTCTCTCCCTGCTTCCTGTCTCCCAGAATTCAGTTCTGTTTTTCTAAAGCTAAGCACATGGCTTCCATGACTGTACACTTAACCCAAATCCTAAACTGTAACCATCCTTGCAGGTTATTCCTGAACGTGCTTTCTAACTCTTGTATTTGAGGAAGGTGATCTTTCCTCATCTACCTTCATCCTAACATGGTTTCTCAGCAATATTTAATTGTTCATATTAATGAATAGAGGATTTTGAAGAAGTAATGAGACATTTCTGCGCTTTCTTTTGGAAAGTATAATTCAATTCCCAACAGTGTGAAGTTGGAAAGATTTCAGACAAAGGACCCCAATTATCTCTCCTTTGTGCCCTTTGCCTGGCCTTCTCATGCCACGATAAATACTGTAATTTAAGCTGGCCACGTCTCCTTTCCTAAGGGCGTGGGCATTGACACAGGCGGTTCCAGATCAAGAAATTTTGCTTTTGTGTAGCTCTAGGTGATCTCTAGGTGAAGATCCACAGGAGTAACACACTGCAAACTCTCCCCATGGCTAGGAGGGATAGGATTTTCAGGAAATGCCGTGGCATATCTGTGTGTGGTCTCTCAATATTCATTCATCTTTCCTCAAACTCGAGTGCAGAAGTGAACCTTCACTCTTGATGGGAGTGTCTGCTCTTGAGTTGAGGGCTTACTTGGGGAGCCCCAGTTCTTAGTATCTCCAGCCTGACCTGTCACAGGTCGATCACACATTTGCTAATTTTTGATAACTAGAATGCATTCTGCTGAAGTTTTGTGGTAATTTTTATCAACCATGGGATTTATTTTGTTCTGACAGGACACCCACAATCTCCCATCACACCAACACATTGTAACAGCATTATGAATCATCCGTAATGTGCTTGTTGCCTTCAGGGGAATAAACTTTGCTCCCCAGAATCCTGACTTAATTAACTAGAAGTCTTTATTTCTCATGTTGTTGATTGGAGATCTCAAGAAGGGGATGAGCCACCTTCCTGAGATGTATTTGGAAGTGAGTCTTCAACTTCCAATCCATGAAGTAGTGACTATATTCTAGTGAAGTAGAGATGGGTATCTGGCTTTGTAATGAAGAGGTGATTAAGGTCTTCCCTTGTGTTTCTGAGAAGGCTCCTGGGAAGCGCAGTATAGCTTGGCGTGAATTACAGAAGATCTAATTAACAGTTGTGGGCTGCTACTGGTGGTGCTATTATTCCATTCTCTGGACATTCTATTGTATTCTGGGGAGTCCTTCGTATTCCCTGTGATGTCACCGGTGTTCTGAGAGAACCAAGTTACTGTGGAATAGTCTTTTGGTAATCAAGACATGTGGGCAAGACTGAGCAGACTGCTTGGGAGAGAGAATGGAGAACGTGGGGAGACTATAGACAGGTTGAAGGAAGCTAGCCTTCTGTCTTAGTGTAAAACATGGAGAAGTAAATGGTTCTAGAGAAGGCACAGTGAGTACGGGAAGGGGTGGGGAAGTGTCTAGAGGAGGGAGAGCTCTAACTAGGCCTTTCAGTGGTACGGTTTGGCTTCTGGGAAGCAATGGGCTTATCCTACTTTTCTGGGTTTCATAATGCTTGCCCTGAGTAAACAGTATCTGATGGCTAGTTTAGGAGAGCCATAAATTGTCAAACCTGCAGCCGTTTTTCTGGGAGATCCTAAAGCTCATTCTGAAAGGAAGGCCAGCAGGAACAAAGGAGTGACCAATTAGGTATCCCTACCTGAGTAGGTGTTGCTGCGCTTCATCTTAGTGGATTCCTTCAGTTTCCATGGGAATCTGATGCTAAAAAGAAGGGAGGGAAACTCCCCTGGCCATGCACCAAAGTCCCAGATATTCAGATGTTTTTGTCCTGGCACATGTGATCAGGACTTCCTGTTGCTAAGCTTTAGGGACAAAAGGACTTACCTGCATTACGTCAAGTATGAGGTGACACCATTCTCCAAATCTACATAGCCAAGCTAGCTTATGCCTTCCAGGTCCAACAAACTGCATTAGGGAGTGATGCACAGGCCTAGCCATTGTGGTTGAGGATAGCTCATGGACACCAGTTTGAGGATAGCTGCCCTGCTCTTTGGGAAATTCACTGAGTCCCTAGCATTTTCTCTTCCTTGGGTTCCTTGGGACTCTACCATTCAGGTCTATGGAACTGATTCTGGGAAGGAGCACTACTATCTTAAGAGGAATTCAGATGTACCCAGGTATTGTGGATTCTGACGATCAGGGGAAATCAAGATTATGACATCTGTCTGACAAGGGGTTGTGGCCATTCCTCAAGGTGAGCGTATAGCTTAATTAGTACTAATTCCTTACCTGAATTCTAAGAGTGCAATTAGCAGACAGAGTCGCAGCAACCTGGGATTTGCATCCTCAGGGCCAGCTGCCTTTTGGATTGCTCAATTGAGTGAGCAACCCCAGCTCAAAATAAATATAGAAGGGAAAACTGTGGAGGGTATTTTGGATTCTGGAGCGGATGTATCAGTGTTATCTATGAAATTTTGGCCTAAGGCTTGGCCCCTGGATGACAGCGCTGCACGATTACAAGGAACAGGTCAAGCAACTTCTCAAAAGAGTTCAAAAATACTGAGATGGCATGATGGAGAAGGACGTGAAGGGTTTTTCCCAGTCATATGTTCTTGCCTGCCTGCCCATCAGTCTATGGGGACGTGATCTCTTTGCAGAGATGGGGGCTGTCTTAACACAACCTACAAAGGTGTCCTCTGGAAAAGCCACCTCTCTGATGAAAGCTATGGGATGGCGACCTGGTCAGGGCCTAGGCGCTTTGCATCAGGACCGGACATCACCTTTAATGCCTGATGACCAGGTTACTCGCCTTCCAGGGGACCGTACTGAGCTGGGACATTTTTAGTGCGGGTCACTGTCCCACTACCAGCACCCATACCTATCACATGGTTGTCAGATGACCCCCTATGGGTGAAACAATGGCCCCTAACTGAAGAAAAATTGCGAGTGGTCCATGCTCTAGTACAAGAACAATTGCTTGTTGGGCATATAGTGCCATCCACAGCCCCCTGAAATACTCCCATCTTTGTAATAAAGAAAAAATCTGGTAAATGGAGGTTGCTTCAGGACCTTTGTGCAGTAAATAAAACCATGCAAATTATGGGGCCACTGCAGCAAGGGCTCCCCTCTCCTGTAGCTATCCCCAAAGATTGGCATCTTATTGTAGTTGATCTAAAGGATTGCTTCTTTACTTTTCCTTTGCATCCTGATGATTGCTTTCAATTTGCTTTCAGCCTACCCTCTGTTAATTTTAAAGAAACGTTTAGAAGAAGTGTGTGATGCATTCGTTGATATGCAACAAACCCTAGCAGCTGCTGGATTGATTATTGCACCATAAAAGTTTCAAGCCATGCCCCCATATTCTTTTTTTTTAGATTTATTTATTTATTATGTACAGTATTCTGCCTGCATGTGTACCTACACCCCAGAAGAGGTGGTTGTGAGCCACCATGTGGTTGCTGGGAAATTGAACTCAGGACCTCTGGAAGAACAGTCAGTGTTCTTAACCGCAGAGCCATCTCTCCAGCCCCATGCCCCCATATTCTTATCTTGGACATATTTATCAACAACTGATGCAATGACTGATAATCATTATCCCCAACATTTGTTGTTAAATTTCTTAAGAATCATCCTATTATTTTTCCATGAATAGTAAAACCTAGGTCCCTGGTGGGAGGTCGAACAGTTTTTACAGACGGTTCCCCAAAAGGAAATGTTGTGGTAATTTCTCAAGATCTGATATCCCAAACACCTGTTGATATGTCTCTGTTCAGGCAACTGAAATAGCAGCCTGTATTCTAGCCTTGCAAATGTTTTCTGATGAGCCAGTTAATTTATATACTGATAGCATTTACTTGTCTCAAATTATTGCTCCCTTAGAAACTGCTCCTTATATTTCCCCTGTGTCCCACGTACAACAACAATTATGCTGTTTACAACATTTATTGTGGTCCAGAAGGGATCCTCAATTGAGTCCTACTCAATTACCTGGACCCCTGGCAGATGCACATACCCAAATATTACTTGCCAGCCCCAAAGAAAGGGCTTCTAAACTCCATAAGAAGTATCACCTTAATGCTCGGTCCCTGCAGCACCATACTGGTTGCTCTAAAGCCACTGCCTTACAAGTTACCACCCAATGTTCCGCTTGTGCCCCTTTTCATAATGCACCCATTGCAGGAGTTAACCCCTGTGGACTTAAGCCAAATGACATTTGGCAGATGGATGTAACCCACCTACCTTCAGTTGGAAAACTGAAATACATGTACATTTTGGTAGATACTTGCTCTGAAGTAGTTTTTGCTTCATTGCATAGTGGAGAGAAAATGAAGGATGTGATAGTTCATTGCCTGCTAGCTTTTGCTTCTATGGGCTTACCTAATGCTATTAAAACAGATAATGGTCCTGCATATACTAGTGGAAAATTTCGAACCTTTTGTGTAGATAATGATATTAAACATATTACAGGTATTCCATACAACATCACTATAGTACAAGCTATAGTAGAAAGAATCCATATGGTTCTAAAACAGGATTTCACAAAAATAAATAGGGGGGAGAATATTCCCTCTCCCAGCACACAATTGGTTTCTATTTTATTTATTTTAATTTTTTAAACTGTGGATTGTGAGGGCCACTTGGCCATGGAAAGACATTGGAATAAAAGTTCTCAGTCTTTGGGATGGAAAGACCTTATTACAGGACAGTGGAAGGAGCCCGTACCCCTGTTGGCTAGGGTGATAGGGGTTGTATGTGTTTTTCCCCCAGGTGAGGACAAACCTATTTGGATCCTGGAACCAGTAGATAGCACCTTCAAAGGAAGCAATAATGAAACTATGGATGGGAATGATGACGGTCAGCATCCTGGTGAGTCTCACTCAAGCGGAGCAAGGAACCCCCCCAATATTAATGCTAGTGAGCCAGATTAGTCCTTTATATCCATCTTTTTATTCTACCAATTGTTAGAACAAGCTCCTGTTAATGCCACCTTTTCTCTTCAGTTTTGTTAAGGTACAGAATCACTCTTAAAATTCTTCATTTTTACATTACTGCCTAATACTCAGTAATGCTTCCATGGCTGATTTTACTCCAAATGCTACATCTAGCAAGGCTGTGGGATTAAGAAATATTTGGTATTCCATGAATAAGGACACATGATCACGGACCTACCCCAGCTCCCTGTTGCTGGCCTACAGCAGCCAAGTTTGATCTACAAGGAGCTTTGCTTAGGGGAGAGTGTATCAGCCAAAGTCCAGATTTGTTAAGAGGTGGTATTAACATGTGGTGGTAGGGCCATGGGCCTGCTGACTTTGGAATAGTGCTTTCGGGGAGGGAGGTGTTGTTCTTGATTGTTCTTCCAGAGACTGCAGCCCGAGCAGTTGCTGGGATGGAAGCTCCTCGGCTGCCCTGTTAGTTCCTGTACCAGCCATCATTCCTTTGCCGGTCCGAGAAAAGGCCATTCGAACAGAAGTGACCCTGTATCGAGATCGGAATAATAGCTTCTGTGGTTGTGGTCATTACAGTCTCTGCTGCCACTGCGACAGTTGCTGGACTGACAATGGCCCAAACGTCTCTTGTGGCGGACACTGTGGCTAGATTGGCAGGACAAGTTAGCAAGGTCCTTCAAACACACACTGCCTTGAATTTTCACATCAAATTTGAACTTTTACATTTAAATCAGCAAACTACCTTATTGCAAGAGCAATAAATTATGGATAATTCAACAAATGTCTTGTCCGCATCTTTATCACACGACTTGTGTTACTTGTGTTCATGACTCTGGATCTGGTCGCTGGCTCAGTCCTGATCCGCCAGTGTCCGGGACTGAGTTGACTCCCAGGACTGGATTTGCTCCTGGCTTCTGCTCCTGGTGGAGCTTGTTTCCTCAGGCCCTCTCTGTCCCAGGTGGCTCAGTCAGTCCCACTCCTATGGAATTTGTGGCCCAAGGTGGAGTTCCTTGCCTAGGCAACTTTGGCCTAGGTTACGGCTTTGACCTGTATCTGTAAATCCTGGTCTGGATTCCCTCCTGCAGAAGTCCCTGGATTGGAGTTGGACCTGGAAAGGTTTCTGATTCCGGTCTACTGCCTCAGAAGTCCCAGACCAATGCCCAGTCCCACAGAGGTCCTGGCTCAGACCTACTCGCTCTGAGGTCCCAGACTCATGTCTGGCCCCATTGAGATCTCTGGTATAAATAAATATTTTTAAAAGCACTGAATTCATCATTCCAAGTCTTCTACCTCCTCTTCTTAACCCAATAGAGGCGCCCATTAGAAACTAGTGACACATTTTCTGACTGTTGATTCTGTGAGCCTTGGACCATCAACTGCCCTCCTTTTGTGCATAGAAAAGCTGGCCTTTTTCAATGCATCAAGGGGGGGGGGGCTTTCCTAGTTCAGGCTTCCCTGTTGCTTTGGAAATCTTTGTTTGGTGCCAAAAAACAGAGGACAAGAAGGCCCCGACAGACCCTCTCGTCCACTCTCTATGCCCAGAAGTCTAGCCAGCCTCTGTTTCCTGCTTCCCTTGGCTCCGTGCCTTTGGCCACGAGCAAGGAGAACAAGCCCCTGCCAGATTCCCTGACATGTGTCCCCCAGCAGCCCAGGCTGAGGAGTTTCTAAAATAGACTGTAGCATGCATGCATGGCCTGAAGCAACACTGGAGCAAACTGCTTGGGTCCCTAGAATGGCATACCTTGGCCACCTTCTAGGTCCTCTGAGCCTCATATTCCACTCTATGTGGGTTTCTGTGCTACCTGACTGGAAATAGGAACTTTCCGGGATGGGGTAGCTCTTCTGGAAAGAGCACTTCCCTCTGTGGGTGGCCTTGAGACCCAAACTGCACGAGGCCCACCACTGCCAGGCACCAAATAACCCCACTTGCTTGCTGCCTCCTACTCATCCCTGGCTGCTGATTTTCCTGGGGCCTAGGAGTTCAGAGGACGAAGCAGGCTGCACAGATATGCTCTGCCTCCAACATGCGATCACTTAATCCCTTTTGTATCTAAAACATAATCGCTGATTGCCTCACTGGTGCTAAGAGCAGTGCAGCCTCAGCTGAGCTCCGTGCTCAAAGAAGACGGTCAGAAAACGACAGCATAACAGCCAACACTGGCACTTACTGCCACCACCCAGCCAGCTTGCCCTTGTGCTCTGCTGCCTGGAAGTGGCCTGGCATATCCCACTAGTTCTATCCGTTGATGCCCACCTCCATTTTCAACGCCATTTCTGGAGAATGCTGAGGGTGGATCTTAGAGAACTGCCATCCTGTTAGTGTTCCTTCGTGTGTTTCAGCTGGCTTCTGTAGGCGAGCACATAAATTTCTTTCCAAACGCTGCAGTTCTGTCAATGTATGGAGTGATTCATGTCCTTCTAGTTCTGGTGGATTTTGTAGGGAAACAAGCCAATCTTCTACCACTAGCAATATTTTGTCTCTTTCATCTCTTCTTGGGGAGCTGGGGAGGTGGCTCAGTGGTTAAGAGCACTGGGTGCTCTTCTAGAGGTCCTGAGTTCAGTTCTTAGCAACCACATGATGGCTCACAACAGTCTGGAATGAGATCCGGTGTCCTCTTCTGACCTGCAGGCATACACGCAGGTAGAACACTATATACATATTAAGTAAGTAAATCTTTTTTAAAAAGGAAAAAAAAGGAAGGAAGGAAGGAAGGAAGGAAGGAAGGAAGGAAGGAAGGAAGGAAGGAAGGAAAGAAAGAAGGACTTGCTGCTCTTGCAAGGACCCAGGATCAGTCCCTAGCATCCATATCTAGTTCCAGGGGATCTGATACCCTTTTCTGGCCTGCATGGGCACTGCACATATAAATCCCTGCACCACATCAGGCAACTCACAACAGCCTGCAACCCCAGCTCCAGCGGATCTGACAGGTCTGCCTCTGGAGAAAACTGCAGTCATGTACATATACTCACACACAGACACATAGTTAAAAATAACTTCAAAAGTTAAAAAAAATTAGCTGCGCAGTAATGGTGCATGCCTTTAATCCCAGAACTTGGGAGGCAGAGGCAAGCAAGTCTCTGAGTTCCAGGTTGGCCTTGGCTATGTAGACAAATCCTGTCTCAAAAAATCAAACAACAACAACAACAAAAATCTTTCCTCTCTGACAAAGCATGCCTACGGAATGTGTGCATAATACACACACACACACACACACACAGACAGACACACTGGGGATGGGCTGGGGGTTCGAGTCTTCCCTAGCTCTTTGGCACCTTCGCCAACTCTATCTTGTGAGGCTCCAATAGGAGAAGAAAGCAAGAAGGAAAATGTATGGTTGTCAGGCCTCAGACAAAGCCTGCATTTCCAACTACAGAAAAGTACCCCAGAAGCCTGTGAAAACCTGAAATGAAACTATTACCTACCTTCAGAAATGATAGTAAAAGCAGCCATGTTAATCTACCTATCTGTCAGCACTTAGCAAACCAGCCAAACACTCTGCTGAGGACTCATGCATGAAAAGGTTATAGCTGGAGGGCTGGAGAGATGGCTCAGTGGTTGAGAGCATTGCCTGCTCTTCCAAAGGTCCTGAGTTCAATTCCCAGCAACCACATGGTAGCTCACAACGATCTGTAATGAGGTCTGGTGCCCTCTTCTGGTCTGCAGACATACGTGTAGACAGAATATTGTATACATAATAAATTAATAAATATTTTTTTTTTAAAAAAAAAAGGTTATAGCTGGCCCCAGACTACTTCCAGATACTGAGAGGATGGAGAAGGAGACCCACGCAGTATACTAGGAACTAGGTAGTGTGACCTAAACCAAGTCTCACATAGTTTTCAATGTGTCTACAGATGGCCCTTTCTGTGTCAGGGTCAGCTCACAAAGAGGAGACCCATGGCAGTGAGGAACCAAATCCCCTATTCCGTTTCTTTGGCTGCTGAGCTTGAAGATTCCGGGGTTTCTCAGCACCTGTCTGAGAAACTCCCCACACACTTGCACTCTCTGGCTTCTCCTCCAGTCTCAGAAATTGGATCCACTCCTGGCTCCTCTCCAATTAAAAAACAATCACCTAGAAGAAACCCTGCCTCAATAGGGCTGGGGAGACGGCAAAGAACTCAAGTGCCCAAATACACTCAGATCTGTCACGGCAAAGGCCACTTCAGCTGTCCCTCTCTTGTCCAGGACTTGCACGAGCATGCTCTCCACCAAAGGCATTTCTCTTCTGCTGCAGGCTCCATGCACTGTGCCTGCTCTGGAGCTCCTTCCCAGCACTGCTTTAGCTGGAGATTTTTGCTATCAAGGCATCTTTGCCCCACGTTCAGGCTCAAAGAGGGTCACCTCAACTCGACATTTCATAGATGTGATTAGTCTACACCATCGTCCTAGATGAGAGGTGGCAGATCTTCTCCAACGCTGACAGTAAGTGATGCTGTGGCCTGGTCCTGAACCCACAAAAGTCAGTGGGGACACCTGAGCCCGCCATAGATGCCTGGTAGCCTAAGACAATTAGCATGCCTATCTCGTGTACCTGTCCCTACGCATTCCCAGTGACTTCTCTCTTTGGTTGCGGGTGATCCCCATAACTTATACAACACCTAGGGTTTGAAGGACAAAAGCCAAGACCAGAAGAAATGTCTCATAGTTCAAGAGCTTTGCTGCTCTCTCTCAAGGCACCTTAGAACCATCTATGAACAGGGATTCAGTGCCCTCTTGTGGCCTCTATGGGAACTGCATATCTGTGGGGTAAATCCTCGCTCAAGGCCAACAGTCTCTTTGAAAAGCTCCTTCCCAAAGTGACCCAAAAGGTCATTGTCTGTGCTGTGTGCTTATCATAGATGCTGGGTTGCAAAAAAAACAGAGGCTGATAGGTCTTAGTTTCTTAATTTCTTTGTATTCCCATAATGATTAGTTTCTTGATTTCTTTGTATTCCCATAATGAAAGTTTTTATTGCCTGAGAGTCCATAGAGCAATAAAGGTGCATTCCTCAATAATGTGGTCCTTATGACCAATTCATAAAAGTATGTCTAGAGAGTACCATATTTTAGGGGTAGTTAAATACAAGACAGCAAGATACAGTATGAATACCAATTCTAATAAGGTGTGTATCTATGGAGTAAGGCAAGCTCAGTACCCAAGATACAAATCTGCTGTGTGGGCCTGGCTGGCTAAAAACTCATTACACAGCCCATTCTGCCTGGAACTAGCAGAGACCCATCTGTGCCTGTGAGTTCTAGGGTTACATCACTGTGACACCACACCTGACTAAAGAAGATGGATTTAAGTGTGAAGACTTAGAAATTGCTTTTTTATTCATAAAAATACATTTTCTCAAAGGGGGCTTTATCAGGGCAGTCAACATAAACACTGAATAATAGCCTTAACAAATTACGAAAATCAATAACAAGAACAGATAATATCAGAATAACAAAGCCAAACCAAAACAACCAAAAATAAAAACCTAAAACAAAAACAACCAAGAAATTAAGCTAATTTGCATTCTCTTGTGGCAGATTGAATAGCAAGGACCTACTACAGGCTGTGACTCACCTCAGAGACATGGGAGCAAGGCCGTCACCGATTGGAACAGCTTTTTCAAGACGCCTGCAGTCATTTCTCTTTTGTTCTATGTCATGTTCCCCCCAAGGCTGAGGCCGCTTGCTGGTAGATGCAGGGTTTGGAGTAATTTTTGTCTCTGGTGTTCTGTACCCCAAGCGTGGTTTTGATGCTTTCTTTCCTTCATGAGAAATGAGTCAACAGACACATGGATCAGATTGGGCATGACCACCTGGCATGGCCAGCTGGTATTTCCTTCGCTGGTGAGTTCACAAATACAAGGGGTGTCTTTTTGTCTGGAGGCCTTGATCCTAATGTGAAGAATGTGATGGTTTCAAGGTATCCTTGGCTCCCTTTGGCTTCCTCAGTTCTCTCAGGGGGTGTGATCAAGAAGGAAAGGGAATCAAGACCCAGAAGCAGCCATGCTGGGTCACTGGCTAGACATACTCAAGGCCTATTCCACAGTGGAATCCACATTCATCCCTGGAATTCAGTAGTTGCTGGGGATGGGGCTCAGCAGGTGGCTCTTCCTGTAGCAGCTCCTTGGGCAAGTGGCTCTCATCCTGGGCTGTGGCCTCTTCTACCTTAGGCTGGAGTGTTTTGGACCTGGGAAAGGATAGCAGGTCAGTAGGGGACATGCCATGTCAACTGTCTGGCTCCTACCTCCCAACACCTCAGGTGTCTTGGGAAACCAACATTGATCTTTGAACTGATATCTTTGTTTATAGCCCCAAAGAAAACAGATCATAGAGTAGCTGGGCCTAGAACTTTTCTCAGCCCTAGACACATGTAATAACTTAAACTGAGCTTGTATGTTGTCCTTTCAGTAGATAAATAGGACATTCTTCTACAGATCAGGGACATCACTTTGTACATAACAGCAGGATATAAATACCATAGCCAACAGTGTATGAGCAATACACTTGGTATTGATGAGGAGTTACTGATCAACACATCATCTTATTGATAGCAGTAATACAGCCTTGTCACCTAAGCAACTGAACAAGAGCATGAGGTCAGCTCAGTCCTCATGCCCAGAGGGACCACAAACATGAGCACCATGCAAGACAGAGCCTGCCATGCTAGAGCAGCATTTCCTGTGAGGTGTGCTGAGAAAACTGGCCCTGCCTGGGCTCTGGGACCAAACAGAGACTTGCATTTCCTTAGGACTAGAGCCGGGAATCTGCATCCTGGCTCTCTTTGGGAGTCTGTTACAGCACACTCCAGAGAAGATTCTGATATGGCCTGTATCTGAAGTATTTGCCTGGGTTCATCCTGGAAAATCCTTAACATATTCTATCCAGAGAACCCTTTGCATAGGAAATAGGCTAATGTTGCAGAGAACATTGCTCAAAGGTGGGACTCTCTTCTCTACATGGAATGTTCTTAAATAAAAATGTTGTTTCAACAAGGTGTGGTGGTTCACACTTTTAAATCCCATCTCTGGGGAGGCTGAAGCAGGTAGGTCTCTGTGAGTTCAAGGGAAGTCTGCTGAGAGCAGAGAAATATCAGGAGGGAGAAATTGAGACTCAATTCTAATAACACACGAGGACCAAACGTATTATTTCCTGGATAGAATTTCTTGTTGACCGCACCAGCACAATTTTCTTAGGGCTTCTTTCCATGGTTCTAGCTTGGAGCCAAGCAGAAGAGCAGAAACTTATAAAAGACAGAGGTCCAAGGTACAGGGGATCCCCTTGTCTGTACCCTGTCCTCCCAGTCTAGAATCCTACCTCATCTGGGAGAACTCAAAGTGATGCCGCAGCTTTTCTGCCAAGTCCTTTTTCTGGGTGTTTGTTTCCTTCTGCTTCAGCAGGAACTGAAGTCTTTCCACCAAACTCTGAGCTCCTGTTCATTAGAAGATTGTGTTCTTAGTGGAGGGTTACACAGTCTCATACAAATCTAAGCACATACAGAGGATCCCAGTAGCTTGCTGGTCATCCAGGCAGGAAAAACAGTGAACATCCAGGGAAGAAAGGAAGCCTGAGTCAAGGCAGAGACTGAATAGAAACACAGTGGTCTCTGCTAGCCAATGCACTCGTGTGTCATGCACCACAACACCCACATGCTTACACTACACACACATACACACACACACAGAGAGAGAGAGAGAGAGAGAGAGAAAGAGAGAGAGAGAGAGAGAGAGAGAGAGAGAGAGAGAGAGAACTGAGAGTTAAAGAAAGAGAAACAGGGAGGGAGAAATGGAATTTGTAGAAACATCATGTCGGATGAGCAGTTTAGATGGACCATACCAGCTCTTTCAGAACAGTCCCACAACTCAGCCATCATTTCTTGGACACTAGTACAGTTGAGATTTGCTTGGCCAGACTATGCCGAGCTGATAGAGAAATTCTTCCCCTGCAGGCCCAAATCTCCCACCTTCCACCACCAGCCTGTCAAAGCCCCCAGCAGATCATCCAATCAACCCCAGACTGTAGTCTGCTGGATGGGAGAACTGTCCAGCACTAATCCCAGACAACAGGGCTGACAGCTGCTGCTCAGGTTCTGTCACTGGGAACTGAGAGCTGGGAAAAGGGAAGAGAACTCACTGGGATGCAGGAAGAAAGGAGAAGGCCCCAGGCCACCCTAACCCATGACAGTGAGGGGCTCTCAATGGGCCCGTGCATGGGGATCTCCTCCTTGCAAACTGCTTCCCACCTGTGATCTCACATGAGCCCTGCCAAGCAAATGAGGCCCCTGGAGCCAGACCTTACTCACTCCAAGCTCTGTGCATAGAATGCTACCGATCATAGATGCTACCTATCATAGATGCATGTAAGTGTGTGGTATGTTATTGACCCATCTCCTTCACTGGACTGCAGCTTCAAACAGAGCAGCAGGAATGGTTCTCCTGTTTCAGCCAGCAATTCCAGGCCCTGGGTGACTATTACTGTGCACTTAGACAGAGTAATAACTTAGTTTCTCATAAGAGGCTAACTTCCCAGAAGTACTGGGCATGGACACTGAAATGAACACCTGGTAGCATGAGGTGGGTGACTGAATGGGAGCACGAATGAGTCAGGTGGGGGTGAGGGCACAGGTGGGGGATGGACAGAGAGGCAGTCAGAAGGGCAAATAGGGCCAGACCTTAGCCTGGCTTATTTACTTGCCCCTACCTGTTGTTGCTGGGTGTTGACATCACTGTTCTTTCCTTGGTCCTTACAGAGCACTTTCAAGTCCTCTACGTGGTGCATCAGTAGGACACAATCATCCTGCAATTTCTTCTTCTCCTGCCTCAGCAGGTTCACCTTCTTCTCCAGGTGAGTATGCTGCATCAGGAGCCAGCTGTGCACACCCCTGGAGAGACACACTGCATAGTAAGGCCCTGCCAGCCTCCTCCTGCCTCCCCTGCCTCCAGGAACCAGCACCCCACTGTTTCCTGGAAGATGTAGCCCAGAGTCTGACACAGCCTTGACAGTTACACTCAGAAAGCCAAAGTGAGACAACAGCTAATACCAGAAAACATCAAACTACTGTGGAAAACCCAACACCAAACAGGATCCACATCCCTTCAATAGGAAGAGGAGTCCCCCACCTGTCCTTAACTGTCCATAGTAATGGGGAAAATCACCAAGTACTGGGTAAATACCCTCCAAGGGGGGACAGATGACCAAAGGTGAGCTTATTCTACCTATAAGTTCCACAGCCACCAGATCTCTCAAGCCTGGGCCTGTTCTCCAGACTCCCAGACTGCCTGGCATCTCCCTCATGGTGCAAAGCCCTTTTCTATCCAGAGGCTCCAAAGGCTCTAGGACAATGGTGGTAGGGCTAACAGTCTCTTTCACACTCTCCAATAATGAATCCAAGAGACACAAGTCCCAGAGCTGCTTGCTAAGAAGCAGAAAGTCTAGAAGCAGAGGTAGGAACTCCCTGTGCAGAGAAACAGAAAGGCAGAGATGGCCGTTCCACAACTTTCAGGGTCCAGGACAAGATGCGCCCTTACCGATACAGGACGGTCTCCCTGGTCAGCTCACTCAGCTGTTCTGAGGCCTCGGTGTTCTCGTTCTCCAGGCGCTTTAGTGCTGACAAGGCCTGTTTGTGCTGCAGCTTCACTTTCTCATTCAGGGGATTGGGCGGGTAGTAGGGCCTAGAACAGGAGGAAAGAATCCCATGAACACAGGCCTCGAGGATCACGGAAACTCAAGCTGGATCCAGGTCTACCACAGCCCAGGGGTTGCCACATTCTGGATACGATGTTCTGGACCTCATGGTGCTTATTTCTTGTTATCCTGACTCTAGGTCAGCAGAGGCCTGGCTCAGATGGAGGGTGTCCTAGCTGCATGAGCTCACGCAGTAGGCCTAGAGGGTCAGTTGAGCTCTCTGTGTTACCAGAAGTCTATACCACAGGTCTTGCAAACCCAGATATTACAATGAAATCTCTTCTATTTCAGAAAGCAATTCTAGACCCTGGGTGACTGTCATTGAGCAGTAAGACAGAGAACATAACTCTGGGTTTCAGACCCAACAGCAGGACAGCAATATAAACACCTAGGTGCCATCAAAGTGAACACATAAGACAACATTAGTAATGCTTAAAGTGGGGATCCCAACATCAGCAGTGGCAGCACCTAGAAACGGGGTCAGACAAATCCTTAGCTCCTACCACAGATCCCTGGCTGCTGTAGTCTGCAGGGACAGAAAAACATGCAAATGTGTGTGTGCAGACTCACACGCAATAGAGAGAGAAGGAGAGATATAGAGACACAGAGAGGAAGAACACCCACAGTCAGATGCCAAAGAAATGTGCGGAGCAGTATTGTCAACAAGTACAGTGCACAAAATTAGAGAGAAACTGTGATGAGCCCCAGGACTTCCAGTGACAATGAGAGGGACCAGGTGGGAAGAGGCCCTTCAGGCTGCAATCAGCACTTTTCTGCACCCAATCTCCCGCCAAGCAAGTCCAAGGACTCCCCACAAGCTAACAGCAGCTAGTATCTCACACAAGCCACCTATGTTGAGAACTACACATTTCTGCACTTGTGTGACTCAGACCACAGGCTCTGGTTTTCATTTGCAGGAAGCAGAATTGTTAAAATCCCCATCTCAGCTTCAGGGCTGCCTCTCCTCTGAGAAGAACTTAGGACCTGAGGTTAGTCACTCAGGAAGTGCAGCCTCCTAGAACCCAACAGCTTTTTTTTTTACATCAGAATTTCATTTTTATTTTATTTAAATAGAATTTTTGACACTTCTTTTACATACTGATTGCATATACTCCTCCCTCCTCTCCCCTCAGTTGCCCCCTTTCCTATCTATACCTCCCTCCCCTTCCACTCCTCCTCCGTCTCCATCAGAAACAGGCAGGCCTCCTGTGGACTAGAGCAAAACACAGCATGTCAAGTTGAGGCAGGATGAGCTCCCCACCTTGCAACGAAGCTAGGCAAGGAAATTCAGCATGGGAAGAGGTTTGCAAAAAGGAGATAAGCTCCAGGGAAGGGTCCTGATCTCACTGATAGGAGCCCTACTAAGAGATCAAGCTACGCACTGCCACACATAAGCAGAGGACCTAGGTCAGTCCCATAAAGGCTCCCCGTCTGTTGGTCCAGAGCCCATAAGCTCCCGCAAGCTCAGGTCAGATGACACTGTGAAGCCCAAGACACTAAAAGAAAGCAGGGGAGGTGACATTGCTAACAATGCCATGAAGTCTGGAACAATGGATACCTATCATCCACCTTTCCTTCCGTGATAAAGATCACGTGATCTCGCAGCTCATTTCTTTGGCTGGTCATCAGCTGCAGCTCCGTGGTCAGCTTCTCCATTTCCTTCTGCATGTTTCTGGGTATGGGGCCTTGGTTTGGATGATGGCACCGTAGCAGCATCTGTGGGTAGATGGAACACAAGTGAGACTGTATAGCAACAAGGCATAGACGATGGACAGGCCACCCTGTGGCGCAAACAGAAGTACCATGTCTGGAACCCAGTGACAACCCAGGTTGAGATGGTACCTCTGTGGACCTCAGCTCTCCCATCGCTCTAGAGATGTGGCTACATAAGCAGCCAGGGTTTTCCTCTGCCTCCCTACACATGCTTCAGGGGAACACAGAGACCACATCTTCAGGCACACTATTTACAGCAGCCCAGGATGCAACATGGTCCAGAGCCCTGAAGCCTGCGTGGGGTTTCAGAAGTCAGAGAATAATGGCATAGTGCATAAGCACTCGGTTGCTGTGAGGAGCCCAAATCTCCTTCCTGGTCAATCCAGGCCCATGGCTGTCAATTGAAAAGTCATTCGGGGCACAACATGGTCAACGGCCTCACTAAGTTACCCACTGACAATCCAGATCACTGAAGCTGGCAGGAGGCAGCCAGTCTCTGCTCTGCTCCCATACCTCGGGCAGGTGTGTGTCTACACTAGAGAACTGCCTGCCATCCTCAGCTGCTGACATAGAACCCTGGGGGGCCACTGTCAGGGAGAGGTGCTCGGAGGAATTCTGCAGTACAGTCGGAGGACATGATGTCTTGGCCAGAAGAACTTTTCTTCCCTTGTGACTAATGTCCGAGAGAGACTGGACCCACAGGAAACTATAGAGGGTGAGAAGCAGAAACTATAGAACTTAGGGAGGGTGATGCCTCCCTAAGACGGAGACACATCAGTCCTTCCCTGATCCTGCTGGTCTCCTTTTGTCCACACATTATAACCCAAACCACAGTAAAGGTCACAGCTAAGCAGTAATCTCAGCACACCATCCTTGGCCTGGTCAGCCTCTGGCTTAGAAGATGGGCAAACTAATGTTCTGGAATCTTTGACCTTCAGAAATTATGATAATGAGGGATGTCCATTAGCTACTGAGAGGCTCCTGGTCCTCTGTCCCATTACTGGAAGGCCCACCTCAAATCCACCTCTTCCAGAAAGCTGCCCACCTCCTGCCCATGACTCACTGCGTTTTCGCCAGAACCATTTATTCCTTCCCACTTTACGTCCAAACTGAGAGTCAGCCTCCTCCTGCCTCTCTCTGTTCACTGGACGTTCTCCATCCGCTCTCCTAATTAGACTCCTCAGTCTTGAGAACATGACTGCTGCTCTACCCCATGGGCACTGAGGAATGTCCTAAGGGCAGTTGGTGTTGCTACAACACTGGTGACATCACATGGAATGCCAAGAGCTCTCCGGGATACAATAGAATTGTCTGGGGCAAGAAACTGCTGATGTCAGGGGGGCCTGCATTTGTCACCCTGCTAACCAGCTGTCCTGGACTGACCAGAAGCCCAACTTCCCCATCCAGGAGCCTCTCTGGGAACACAGAGGAAGCCATTCAGCACCTCCTCCTTCCAAACCCAGAGTTTCCTTAGCTTGATTGGAAGCCCATAGTTGAGAAGTGAGCTTTTCTTTCAAAAGATGCTGAAAATGTCCTTCCTTCCTCAAAATCACTCTATTCATCAATATGAGCAAGCAAATCTCACTGAGAGGCTCTGTTAAGATGAACATAACCGAGGAAAGGTCACCTTCCTCAAGAACAACTGTTAGAAAGCACATTCAGGGAGAACCTGCAGATCTGGTTACAGTGTGAGATTTAGGTTAAGGATACAGTCATGGAAGCCATGTGCTTAGCTTTAGAAAATTGCCCCAGGATTCCTTAGCACATAAGGAATGCCCCTATGAGGGTGCTGACAAAAGTGTGATGATCCCTTAGCAGAGAAAACTGAACTAGGGAATCCTCCCGGTTGAAAAAGCCCACAGACTGAGTGTGGTTCTCTCCACTCTGCTCAAACTCAGAACCTCAGGGCTTCTATTGCTGTGGGTTTTTATTCACCATGAGATAAAATTCCAGATTCCTAATGTGAATGCCCTTTGCCCATTGCTCTGCTTCCTGCTCCAGGCGCTCACCTAGGGTCCCCTACTGTATCTTTGCTTCTCTCTCACTCTCTCACTCACATTCACACTCCTCCTTCTCCCCCTTCCTCCTCTCTATGCAAACCCCACGTCCAGAGGCCAATCTGACGTCGTCTGAGTGACTCCAGTGGACCTTCCCTCCACCCCACACATGCACACGTCCCTCAGCCCTGTCCTTGTTCCAGCTCTGGTACTGTCATTCTGTCCTTCAGTAACCTTGGACTGGTTGTGCTGTGTCACATTCTGTTTATGCCTCTGTTCTGCTTGGCTTCTGTTATTGTTTCCGGTACAGTTTTCCATTTCTGACCCGTTCCCAGGTTCCTTCATTAACATATCACAGATGATCGCTTGTGTGGGACAGCAAGCCATCAGTGGCTCCCGGGTTCCAGATGGCTTTGAAAATAGATCTTTGCCTCACTTTGAGAAACATTCGAAGGTAAATGGCAGTGGAAGTTTGACAGACTCTTTGTCTGGATCATCCTCTGAGGAACAGAGACTCATCAGGATCTAAAGCCCGTGGTTATTTTCACTTGGTGTTTACATAAGATGTGTTGCTGTGACAGTGAGTTGCACTTCATGTCAATCTCGCCCCACTGAGGCGCCTGTTCAGTGACTGCTGGTGTGTCAGAGCTGCACTGCCACCGCTGAGTCTATTTTACATCTTCAGTACCTCTAGCTACAGGAGGTTCTGGTTTGGAGGTGGGCGGGGCCTGCCCACAATAAAGATGTTTTGAAGACAATGGCTTCCCAGGGAATGGGTTGGGTGCCCTCTGAGGTCCTTGGCACCTCTGGAATAGAAGCTCCAACTCACGTTTTCCTCCTCCTAGCCTCTTACCTGCACTGGCACTCTAGCAAAGATGGTGTGTCTAAATTATTTCTCCTCTAGGCAAGGTCATAGGGCACCTGCCAGTTCTTGAGTCACTGGCTGGGTATGTGTGTAGCTTCCTGCGGACATATTCTTGTGTGGATGAATTTTAGAATTTTGGATCTTGGACCTTGATTGCTATTCTTTTTTCCTGTCTCCCTTTAGCTCCCTGCTGCCAGAGACTTTGTGGCCAATAGGTTTTATTCTTGCTTAATGCCTACTGAGTGTTTCTTCCACACAATGGCAGGTTGGAAGGGTCTTGTAGACACTGCTGTAAAGACCCCCAGAAGAAGACACCAGCAGGGAACTTGAGGAAGTGTCATATTTCACAGAACAACAGCACTGTGTAAGTGTGCACATCGCCTGCTCTGTGCATGTGTGTGTGTGTGTGTGTGTGTGTGTAGGTGTGCACATGAATGAGTGCATTCTTTTGCATTTGACTATGTTCATGTGTGCATGCATGCTTCACACAAAAGCTGTGATTTACCCCTTCTTGGTGTTGAAAGGGAATAATTAGACATGCTGGTGCTCTGAAGATAAAGAAACATATAGTAAACCAGCTCAGACTATCTATCTGTAAGGCAGAGACCAGACCTGAGTCCCTGGTGGCCAAGTCCCACAGAGGGAAATGCTGAACTTGTCATCTGGAACTTACCATTGAGCCTCTGTGAGCTGTTTCCTAGCATGACTGTGGAAAGGGGGTGATAACTCCCTGCTAGTTTCTGAGAGGTTTCCCACGCTCACCTTGTCACTGTTTAGGTCTTGTTGTTCATCCTTTCCCTGGCTTCCAGGGATTTCAGCTTCTGGAAGACATGGGTTCCTTGCTGCAGTCACAAATGGCTATAAAACTTGACTCTCTGTGTCTCCCTTTAGGTCACAGCAGAGGATTTCTTTCCAGACCCCATGACCGTTTCCACTCCCTGCTACATCAGTAGCTTTGTGTGTTGCAAGAAAACCCGTATGTGTTTCTGTTGCTGGGGATTGTGCACAGGCTCTCGAGTGCTAGGCCACTGTGTTAACTGCTGAGCACAGTCTTAGTCCCTGGGAATTGTTCATGTTCTGACAGTTCATGACACCTGTTAAAGCTGACAGGCCACATTGTTGGACCACAGGTTTGATTCCATTTTGTGTCCTGTCTGTCCCCTTGTGGAAGAAAGGACCTTGCAGACTGCAACGCCAGAGTTTGATGAGGAAGTGAGCCAGACAATGTGATGAGGGTAAGATAGTGGTCAGGGACACTCGTTCCAGACAGCGCCCTATGTGTTCCTTGTTTGTCACTATCATGTCATGCTCTAGTCTTCTGATGGGAATGCCCTTTGATTTCCAGGTAGGCCGTTTTCGTCAGAAACCCAGTGATCTGTGAATGCTTTTTCTACTCTTGATGTGAAGAGCTCAGAGCTTAGGGTATTGGCATGTACAGCGTGAATTTCCAAGAGCACCGTGTTAGCCTAGGTGGAGCGGGTTCTGGCAAGGGCAAGTTTGTTTTCCAAGGTTTCTCTCGTTCTCTAGTTCACAGTCACACTGCTGGCTGGTGGCGGAAGATTTTCCCAAGCGTAGTTAAGACATGATTGTTGTCCTTGATTCATACTGTTTTTCGGCTTCCTCATCCTCTGTCTTAGAAAAGGACTTGTATTTGATTCCCAAACTGGAATCTATGGTGTTATCTGTTTTGTTTTGTTTTTTCAAGATTTGTTTATTTATTTTATGTATATGCATGTTCTATCTGCATGCATGCCTTTATGCCAGAAGAGGGCAACAGATCCCATTGGGGATGGTTACAAGTCCCCCTGTAGTGACTGGGAATTGAACTCAGGACCTCTGGAAGGGTAGCCTGTGCTCCCAAATACTAAGCCATCTCTTAGTCATCTGTTCTGTTTCTTTTTTTCTGACTACTAGTTACATGAAAGAGAAAACATTAAATGAGCCAGCAGTGGTGAGCACCAGGTCAGTAGACATTTCATCCTTTGGTACCATTACTCTATGCCTGAACAGCCCTGATTCATTTTTCTCCTGCTTGGTTCATAGCCATTCTCTGTAAGCCCCAAATGATGCAAACAGGTTTTCAAGAGACCAGAGGCTAGAAGAACTAGCAATACACCATGTTTTTAGGGGTAAAATTTATTTCGCCTGTTCTCTAAGTTTTACAGGAGAATAACATCAAATGAGACATAGCTATTCCTGGTTGCAGATCAGCGACTGTGGATATCCAGGGTGGTTGGAGGTCTGCTTGCCTCCTGCAGGCTGCTCAGATCTGTCCCAAGGGACTGCAATGATAGGACATTGACTCCTGCGAAGACAGAAGATGATGTTGTTGTCAGGGGAGCAGGAGGATTGTTGGAGAGAGCCAGAGGGAGGTGAAATACATGAGTCAGTCAGGAATCAGCACAGATATTGAACATAAACCAGTATATCAAATTTTCTCTGGAGCTTTAGAGTTGACTGAGCAGTTAAGAGCACTTGCTGCGGGCTGAAGAGATGGCTCAGAGGTTAAGAGCATTGGCTGCTCTTCCAGAGGTCCTGAGTTCAATTCCCAGCAACCACATGGTGGCTCATAACCATCTGTAATGAGATCTGGTTCCCTCTTCTGGCCTGGGGGGATACGAACATAATAAATTTATGTATTAAAAACAAAGCACTTGCTGCTCCTCCAGGAGGCAAAAGTTCTGCTCCAGCACCCAACATCCTGGAACTGCAGCTCCAGGAGATCTGACCCCTCTTTCCTCTTCATGTGTACCTACACACGGGTGACATGCATTCACATGGACAAACACACATACACACAAATGAATCAAAACAAAAGTAAATTTTGTGATAGAGGACTTGACACAAATATGACTACCAAGACTTCTTCAGGAGCTATCATGAGCCAGGCAGAGGCAGGCAGACCTCTGAGGTAGAAGACACTGTGGTCTACACAGTGAGTTCTAGGACATCCAGGGCTACACAGAGAAGCCCTGATTTTGAAGGAAAAAAAAAAGGCCATCGTGACATTGAAGATGAAAGCCATTGACACGGAAGTCTGCAGATGTCTGTTGGTTATGTTCCTGGCACATTGCAGGTGAATGCTGAGACAATGCAGTACGCCATGTTCACGTCTGAGTGAGGCCTGACAATGTGGCTATTCATGCTGAGGCCTCGGTGTGTGTCACCCCCAGGTAAACAGCTACAGCTCCATGTATTCCGTGCTACAGTTTCTGAAAGAGGATCTACCCAAGGTGAGGCAAAGAGTCCTCTCATGGATAGAGAGCCAAGAGTAGGACTAGGGACCAGATTACTAGAGAGACCAAGGATGGTACCAATACTTCATGGCCATATACCCAAGGGGTCAGTCTGGTTCTTATTAAGTGATTTGGAAGTATGGAAGTGGGTGAGGGGCTTGTGGGAGTTGGCTTCTTCTCTCTACTCTGTGGGTCC